GTGTGTAAATGAAATGAGCAACACCAAAAGGGAATGTGAAAAATCGCATCGACAAAAGTTTCCGTGTATAAACGCAGTCTTACAGTATCTATATCTTCCAACCCCATGTCTTTAATTTTACTCCAAAGGTATAGCCCATTTCGTACCCTAGTATTTCTGATTGCCTCCGATTTAGAGGTATCAATTAGCACAAATATTTCACCTTTATGGTCAGTTGGGTAAAAAATAGTTTCCTTGTTTGCGTTTTGACGTCTTTCTTCGCGCCCTTTGTGCATGTCATTTTCTAGACGTACATTTTGTTTCCCGCCATTGGTGTTTTTCTCGTCTGTATAGTCTTCTTTCATTTGTGCGTTTTGCACAGTTTTGTCATGTATGTCGTCCTGTATTTCATGTATGTTATATACATGAGCGTCATCTTTTGGTCTAGCGTTTTGTATTTTACCGTTGGCAGAACTACCATTTCCCGCTATACCACTTATACCACCAAAACTATTACGCACATGGTCATAGTTTTCGTCCATGTATGCCCAGCCAAGCATTTCAGCGTCACCTGCCACCTGGCCACTACTTTTAGTCACATTCGGATTGCTTAAAAAATCATCCAATTGCATTAAATTTTGATTTAAGAGGCTGATCTTCATCGCCATTTCCTTTTCTTTTCTTTTTTCTAGCTCTCGACCCTAACCTAGAGGTTTTCTCCCGGTCAGAATCCGACATGGTATAAGATGACGCTGCCCCACCATGCCACGCAATCGTTCTCAGGTTTCCCCGACTTAATCAAAAAAACTCAAAACTCCACAGAAAATTAAGTGAAAAATATGATATGTATTTACCTGTTAAATTACCACACACTCAGGAACAGTACAAAGTATTTATTAACAAGCACAACTCACCAGTATAGAAAAAACACTACCTTTCCACTCGGACGTTGAATAAGAAGTGACAACGAAATTTAACAAAAGTTTTTTGTTCATAACTTTTAAATGGTTAATAATATTAGCCCCTCCCCCCCCTCCGGATTGTTATTAAGGGGACCGAAACGCGTCGTTTGGTACCCCTCCCGACTTTTCCGCACCTTTTTTAGGGGTTGTTACCCCACCCTAGAGAATTACCCAAAAAAATTAGCGGAAAAATATTAGAGTAAAATTGCCAATAATTTTTTCGGGCAGTGTATGTACACACATAGAAAAAAAGCAAGGCGGGCATACCAAATTGGTACATATTACCAATGGAGAAATGCTAAAGTCTTAATATAAAATCAGAGATTGCCAGAAGAATATAAACCTAGGAATCAACAGAACAAGTACATACTAATGGGTGAGAATGTGGATCGCGAAAGTGAGCCAATTCATGAAGGATTGCTGCAAGAGAGTAAAGAAATCGAGTTTGCAGAGGAAACAATACTTAAATTAGAGGTGGAAATTTTGACGCCTTTTTCTGAGGTAAAATATATTTATAAATACATACTATAGTATATACATACATATGTATGTATGTATGTTGATATCGCACACCTAGATCTAAAGTGCAATCAACTCAATAAAAAAATTGTGATTTTTTTGCATAAATCAATTCATAGGACTTACATCTAATTAACCCTCTAGTAGGCTGAACCGCCTCCAGACGGTCGTTAACTTTTTAGTGCACCTATAATAATTTTTTTCTATATTCGTAAGGCACGATCTTTAGACAAAAATCGTACCTTTACGGCGGTGTAAATTTGAATCCGTTATGTCAATCCGTTTTATTTTAATCGGCAGTTGAATTACAGATTTTGAAAACACGGTTAAAATTAATTATTTCTTGCTATTTAGTAATTTTGTAATTAAAGAAATTTTTTCATTTGAAAAATTTTTTGATATAAAATAGTTCGGTGGATTTCGTTGTTAAAAGCACCGTATTTTAATATAAGTTTTATAATCATGTCACCATTGGAAATGGAGAAAATTGCTTTCGAACACAGACCGTCTACAGACCGGCTTGCCGACATATAAAAATCCAGTTTGCATTTCTGACCGTCTGCAGACGGGATTGCCGGTTCGTAGGTCAACATTGTGTAAGAGAAAGCTGAAAATATGTGTAAGTATATCGGCGAGCCCGTCTCCAGACGGAAAAAAGTTACTGTCACAGATCGAAATGGACATCATTTTTGGATTTCTCGTGCTAAATAAATTCACCCATTCCTGAATTTTTCAACTCATAAAAAAATTGGCCTAATGGAAATTGTTAATGGAAATTGTTTTTCTTCACGATTATATACGTTAACTAAAAAACTTCTGCTATACCTGTTTTTGTATTAATTGCGTTGATTATGTACGATCCACAAGCAGTTAACATTCCCTCTCTGAATTTTGAGTTAGCTCACTTTAGATCTAGGTGTGCGATATGTACGTACATATGGATCTATGAACTAGCTCAATTATTTACGAAATAAAACCACGATGAATAATATTCTACCTGATTATCAATTTCATTAAAGGAAGATAATGGAACAGATAATATACTGAATGAGTTTGAAATAAATAAAACGTTGTATAATGCGAAAAAGAAAGATTGTCAAATGGTAAGCAATGCAAATACAGCAATGTTAGACGTACGGTATGTATAGCATTAAGAAAAACTTACTGTTTCAGGTGGAAACGACAAATTCTGTCACGCGGAGATTTTTTCAGTTACGTAGTACTGATCCGTTCATTATATTGGGATTTATTGATATTGTTCGCCGACATCCTTGCCATTGGAATTCGCTGGACTACGACTTTGGACACAAAGACAAAAGGGATGAAAGCTCGAAGATCATTTGTAGAGAACTGAGGGACCTGTATAACATATGCATATCTCCACAATTAGCCCGATCAAGCATACTTTCTCTGATTCGGTGGTTTGAACGTGAATATCTCCGTTCGGTGCTGCTGAGTAAGACAAATACTTCTAAAAGAGGTCGCAGCTCAGGTTGATTTAAAGAAATCCGTTTAAATTTTTCGAATTACATCTACTTGAATACAGGATAGGCAGGGTTGCATACAAATGGTTGTTCCGTAAATATTTAAAATATGTTAGTTCATTCAATATTTGCATCTGGGCCAATAAATAATAACAAATATAGCCGAAAAAAACAAAGTTTCAATTAAAACGAGTTTTTATAACCCCCCATAAAATTCCGATTAATTTTAAATACGAAAATAACGATATTTTTTCATGGAGATTTATTTTTTTAATATACCTTGTTTATACCTATACAAAAACCGGATTAGCAAAAAACCGATTGGACTCAACATATATTTCTTTACAGCATTTATCCCCCTGTCTTTATAGCGCACTCGATAAAGTCTTATTCAAAAGTAAACAAAATTGCTATTTTTAAACGACATTTTTTTAAAAAATAATTTGCGCGGTTGACCGAAATGGAAACAAACAATATTTGTAA